AGTATGTCAAACATAGCCTAACATGAAAAATTGAATTGATCCAAAAAGTTTGGTTAAAAGGACGGATTTTCATAATATCATCTGAGATAAATATAGTGTTTAATTTAATAAACATAATAAAAAAGTATCATTCAATTAAAATATTCACGACAATTTTCATATTTTATAATCTATTTAGCATATATGTCATTACTAAAATCATCTATTATTTCGGTAAATTTGTACTCATCTTATCAATCAAGATATATAAACTATATTAACCAAGTTATAAACAAATAACACTTACAAACCTTAAAAACAATAAAAAAAAAAACAATCCCATAACGAGTATACAAGTTAACAACAAATAAATAAAATATATGAATATTTCTAACTAGGTGTAATACCCATGTATTACATGGGTTTATTTTAAAGAAAAATTAAATACAAAATTCTAAGGTTGCGTTTAGTTACGGAAAAACAGTTTTCATTTTCTGTTTTTCGTTTTCCTTTATCATTTTTCATTTTTTGTTTTCGGTTTTCATTGGAAAATTTAGAAAACGAGTTTAGTTAAAACTTATTCATTTTTCATTTTCAGTTTTAGAAAATTAGAAAACGTGTTTAGATGTGTATTTTCTATCAGTTTTCATTTTTAGAAAACGGTAGCGGTGGTAGGTGGGCGTGGGGACGGTGGCGGTGGTGGGGGCAGCGGTGGGGGGACAGGCGGTGGTGGTGGCGGCGGCAATTGTGGCAGTGGTGGTGATGGCGGCGGTGGTGGTGGTGGTGATGGGGTAGTGGTGGTGGTGATGATGATGGTGATGGTAGGTCGGTGATTGTGGTAGTGGTGTTGGGTGGGTGGGTGTGTGTGTTTGTGTGGGTGTGAGTTTGTGGGGGTTGGTGTGTGTGTGTGTGTGTGTTGTAGGTGTGTGTGTGTGTTTGTGGGGGTGGGGGTGGGTGTGGGTGTGTGTGTGTGTGTGTGTGTTTGTGGGGGTTGGTGGTGTGTGTGTGTGTGTTTGTGGGGGTGGGGGTGTGGGTATGGGTGTGTGTGGGTATATGTGTTTGTGTGGGCGTGGGTGAGGGTGGGTGTGTGGGGGGGGATGTGGGTGGGTGTGTGTGTGTGTGTGTTTGTGGGGTTGGTGTGTATGTGTGTGTGTGTTTGTTTGTTTGTGAGGGTGGGTGTGGGTGTGGGTTTGTGTGTGTGTGTTTGTGGGGGGTTAGTGGGTGTGTGTGTTTGTGGGGGGTGGGGTGGGTGTGTGTGTGTGTGTGTTTGTGGGGGTTGGTGTGTGTGTGTGTGTGTGTTTGGGGGTAGGTTTGGGAGTGAGTGTAGGTTGGTAGGGGTGTGGTGGGTTGGGGGTGTTAAGGTGAGGGTAGGTAGAGGTGGATGGGGGGTGGGAGAGGGTGTTTATATTTTAGAAAAAATTTGGAATTAGAAAAATGTGGAAAACAGTGATTATCGGTTTACAAAAATTTTCCAACTTCTTTGTAATTTTAGAAAACGGAAAATTTTCATTTTCCGTGAAAAATTTAGAAAAATAGACTAACTAAACGCGTTTTCAAAATTCTCATTTTTCTTGGAAAAATTTTCCGGAAAACGACCCATTTTTCCGCAACTAAACGCACCCTAAACATTTTGAAAAGTACGAATTTATAAGAAAAGTGAGAAAATATTGAATTATAAAAATTAAAGTGTTTTTTTTAATTTAAACAAATAATTTAGATAAATAAATAAAGAAAATTAATGAATCTTTAATTTAGTAATTTTGAAATTAGAAGGAAAGTTTATTAATGAAATTAATATTCATTTAATATTGTATTTAAATACTATCTAGAATTCAATAAAATGAAAAAACCATAAAATGACATGTGGAATAAACATTAATTTAAAATAACAACAAAATTACATGTGGCAAAATAAATGAGAATGTGACATGTGGCAAAAATATCTTTATTTATTAGGAAGGATTTCTAATTTATGTTAGTTTTAATATGGAATTATAACAACATAAATATAAAATATAAAAATTAACAAATATAACAATTACCTCTTTTTTAAGATTAATTGACCATATTTTATAAAAATAATGGTTCAACTGAAACCATGTGATCATGTTTGTTTTCATAACTTATCACATTAAATTTAAGAGTAAATTACACGAATGGTCCCTATGGTTTATGGTAATTTGTACGTTTGGTCCCTAACTTATTTTTTTAACTCGGAAGGTCCCTACTGTTTGTTTTTGTTAAACGTTTGGTCCCTATCTTACCTATAAAAACTATTTTACCATTGATTTTTTATGTTATTTAAATAAACACCCCCAACCCCACCATTTTCACTTTGTCTTACCTTTCCCACCATTTTTTTCTATTTAAATAATAGTTTTTTTTAGGTAAAACAGGGACTAAATGCGTAACAAAAACAAACAGTAGGGACCAAACACGTAACAAAAATAAACAGTAGGAACCTTCCGAGTTAAAAAAATAAGTTGGGGACCAAACACGCAAATTACCCCAAACCATAGGGACCATTCATGTAATTTACTCTAATTTTAATTTTCTTTCTGTTACATAATGGTTTAAAATAGTCTATTACTTGCCGTTCAAAAACAGGTTACTTCAATATCAAGAAACAAGAGCACAAGAGAAAAATCCTACCTCTTGCCTCAAGAAAACAAGAGCGAAAGTTTAGGCCTCAAGAAAACAAGAGCGAAAGTTTAGGGGGGGAGACAAGAGCATTGGGGGGCAGAACTAGGGGTGAACATAAGCGAGTACCCGGCCAAATTTAATGGAACCGGAACCGGAACCAACGGTTACTAGGAAGTCAAAACCGGTTACATCGGTTCTTAGAACTTTGGAACCACCCCCAGAACCGCCGGAACAGGTTCCGGTTCCGGATACCCTATTGTTGTTTTGAATTCAAACTATTTTAGGACAAAAATTATGAAATTCTTCATAATTGTGTATTTAAAGAACTCATAATTAACGTTCTAAAAACATTCCAACCTATTTAAAGTTCTCATAGAAACTTTCGGCTGCACAGGTAATGGAACAAAGGGTATTCTCCTTTTATAGGCTATATAATTATTCATGTTTTGTTACACCAAGCGATGTGGGATAACCTGCTTACACATTATCTTTATTTGTGAGCATTGAGCAACATGTGGAATGAATAAAGAAGAAAACATATCGCTATCCATTTCATTATTTTATTTGAAACATAAGATAATTACAGTACGATTTAATTGTCTTTCTTATTAGTTCTTATTAAATGTTCATACATTTTTAAAAAAAATTAAAGTCAACTCAAATACAGTAGGTATCGATTTGAGTTTAATCTCAATATAAACAAGTTAATAGTTTTATTAGTAGATTCTTTTAATAATAGAGATCTTTTACTAATATGTTTGCCGTTTGTATATATAAATCCCCAAGACCATTCGTGCTTTGTGTATATTATTTGGAGAGAACAACAAACTCCATAAATTCATATTAAATATAAACAAATATATATATATATATATATATATATATATATATATATATATATATATATATATATATACTGGTTCCAACGGATACCCAGCGGGTAGCGGTTACAAAAAAATGAAAACCAGAACCGGAACCGCCTAAGGCGGTTCCACAACTTAAGGAACCGGAACCGGAACCGCTTAAGGCGGTTCCGGTTCCGAAAGCGGGTACCCTGTTCCGCTGCTCACCACTAGGCAGAACGACAGCAAGCGAAGGTGGAGTTAGTGTGGCCGTCGGAGATAAGTAGAGGATTGCACCGCCGTGCATTGATCTTGAAGTTACAAATACAAACCTGTGTTTTTTTTGGGTTCTATGTTCTTTTTTCCACGCTCCTTTAATATTTTCTACATGTTTTCATTTGATCTTATTGTCAAATATAAAGAGCGAAAATCTCAAAATATATTGTGATAACTTGTAATTATCTATAAAAATATTCATTTATTTATGTTAACTATCGTCGTTTAACCAATTAATTTGGTTTTTTTTCATTAATGGGATTTTCTAAGCATTAATTATAACAAATATTGCTATAATTAAACGTTGAATATACTTCAAAAACTAGCTTATAAACTAATTTTTAGTTTGTCAAACGTGACAACTTAAACAAGATTGAAAAATAAGTTAGCTTATCAGCTAGCTACAGCGCACAACCTAAATTGCACACATGAGTTTGATTTTTGGATTTGTCACTATTTACTTCTTCCATTGAATGGTGCATTTGAATAATGTGGAGAGATAAAAGAATCAACATTAGACTCTAGATCTAGAGTTTGAATAATTGTTTCAAATTGATGTTATTAACTTGTGTAGAAAGAAAATTAGTGATATGTGTTACCGGGAATTCACTGATGCGTCTTCTTGTAATTGGATCTTCCCTTTCTGATGACATTTTGGCATAAATTTATAATAGATCTATAGGTATGAAGAACTGATTTAAAGAACTTTAAAAGAGAAAAACTGTACAAATATTGTTTGACCATATTAAAATAAAAGAACTGAATTCCAAGAAATATAATTGGAACAATCAAATTTGAATCATAAGAAATCAATTGATTATGATTGATTGAAAGAATGGAATCAAATCAAGAAGAAAAATTACCATGAAGAGATTTGAAAAAGTATGGACTTTTATCATCTTTCAATGAGAGTTGAGCACAAACATTACAAATATATAGAAAGAAGTATATTCGAAGTCGTTACAAACTTAGAGCATCCACAATGAATAGTTTAATAGGAGGGGTTAATGACTTAGGAGGGTAATTAGGTTTCCAGTTTGTCCACATTAGGTCACTAAGGTTTTTTTTTGTGCTCATTAGGTCACTAAGGTTGTTATTACCGTTTAGAAATAGTTTTTTTTACCGGTTTCTCCCTGTTTAGCTTAGTTGGCAGCTTACATGTCTGGTGACATGCCTATAACCACCCCATCGCCTCCACCGCAAAAAATGTCCCATATTTCTTGTGCCCTAAATTGAAGAGTTGAAGAAGAACAGAAAAAGATGTCGCAAGCCTCCATCGCCTCCACCTCAAACAACCGAATCATGTGCTACTGTGGGCTCCCGAGTCGGATTCGAGTCTCCACGACACCACAAAATCTGGGGAAAAGGTTCAGAACGTGCCCTAATTCGTTGGTAATGGCTAATTTTGAAGATTGAAGCTTTTCACTATTTAAATCTCTGTTATAAGTGTGTAAGTTATGGCATTTATCCTAAAGTTTTGTTCTTTTTCATTTTTTTATAGAGAGTAGGAAGAAAGTGTGGATTTTGGGAATGGGATGTTGAAGATCCGGTCACAGAGGAGCTTTTGGGTCCTAGTCATGAGCTGAATGAAATGAAGAAGAAGATGAAATGTCATAAAGTAGCTTTGATTGTCTTGTTTGTATTGTACTTTGTTAAGTTATATTGAATGGAATTATGATGCAGTAGACATCTTTTGAATATAAAGGGTACCCATAATTTTGTTATTTTGATTGTAAGGGTACCTATAATGTAATGAAATCATATGTATGAATGCAAATGAAGCTTTTGGTAATGAAATCTGTAATTGTAATGTTAATATGGTGTATTGAAATCTAAAATGCTATTATAGTCAACAACCAATGTCAGTAATTATAATGAACAACCAAATTGAAGGCAAAGTACATCTGTAAAGTGTACGATTCAACAACCAAGAATCAGTTCAAAGATTTAAAGCAGAAAATATATTAAAGGGTAATATTGTCAACAAACAAACACCCTTAAAAAGGTGTCCCATTCAGCATCAAAAGAGCATCAAAAGCTGGATAGTTTTGTCCCTTAGTCTAGTACAACATTACATTTAATATCAAAAGATTCGACGATCACATGCTTACCTAACACTTACACTCCACATGCATACATAAGAAAACAAAAGAGTTCAACATTAAACCTACAATCAAGCCAAATCTACAGGTTTCTCTGAACTACAACCACTACCATCCTTGGGCACCACTTTTTTCCTCACGCACAGTTTGGTGATTCTTTCTGAAGCTTTCCTCTTTCTCAATTTAACTGCACTTTGAACTGGTCTTGCAGAAGTGGATCTTGGTCTTGGAGTTGCAGAAATGGATCTTGGTCTTGCAGAAGTGGATCTTGGAGTTGCAGGAGTGGATCTTGGTCTTGGAGTTGCAGGAGTGGATCTTGGAGTTGCAGAAGTGGATCCTGGAGTTGGAATTGGAGCTGGAGTGGAAGATCCAGGATCACCTGTTGTTGGAATGCTTTTTGTTGGGCACCTATTTTTTTATGCCCACTAACATAGCATATTGAACACCTTTGCACCTGCTTTACTCTTGACATTGTGTGTGTGCTTGATATCTCCCTTTCTGCTGCACTTTTCCTCCTCTTAGTAGATGGCCTACCAGGTATCCTTCTACTCTTTGGGGGTAAAGGCTTGGTGTACCCACTTTGTGTCCATAAAGAGCTATCATTCAAAGGATGAATAATGTATGCATAGCAGGTGAGATAAGTTGCCTTACAGTAACAGCTAGCTATATATTCCTCTGAGTTTAAGTTCATGGATGAAATTGCAGCCACTCCATGTACATATGGTATTCCAATCAACTGCCATTTCTTTTATCCACAAGTCCTTCTGATCAGGTCAATTGCATACCTGTCATTACATAATACCACCTCAAATTGTTGATACCCACAAGGGTACACAGCCCAGAATCTGTACATAAACATTAAACAGGTAAGAACACATGAACACATGTATAAACATTAACAAGTAAATACAAACATTCTTACCTTTGTTTCTCCTTCAAATGTACTATTTTCTTCCTAATGCTTGGGCATATAGTTAAATACCAAGACTCTCCCTTACTCCTCTGATGGTATAACCTCTGCATCATATAAACCCTTATATCCTCCAACATTGCTATTATTGGTTTATGTCTAGCCTCAACTATTTCAACATTAAAACTCTCTGAAATTCCATTTTCCACAGCATCACAAAATACTCCTTCTTCTTGAAAAGCCTTGCAATAACAATTAGGGTCCCTCTCCATGAGATAATCAAATGCCCCCCTGTCTAATTCCTTGATCTCTTGCATAGCAACTTCATGTCTCTGTTTTGTGGTAGCCTTCACAGCTCTCCAAAATGGCTTGATAAAAAGCTCACCTTTGAACTTGGAGTTGCGGTTGGCTAGTATGTGCCTAGCACATAATCTGTGCTCAGCATGAGGAACCCTTTCCTTGATAGCTTCAATTAAACCCTGTACAATTTACAATATTAAGTAATAATTAAACTATAAAGTTAAGAGTAAACATGAGTAGTACCTTGTGTCCATCTAATATAAGAGTAAGCCCATTTCCATTGCCTCTGTCAATATCATGCATGAGTAGATCAAGAAACCATTTCCAAGTTTCTTTGTTGTCAACAGTTACAACAGCCAAGCTAGGGGGAACATGTTGTTATTGGCATCCCTGCCCACGGCAGCTAAGAGTTCACCCTTGTAAATTCCTTTGAGAAAGCATCCATCAATCCCAATGATTTGTCTACATCCTTCTACCCAACCATCTCTTACACCCTTAAAGCATACATACAACCATTTGAACACTAGGCTTCCATAAAGGGTATGGTCAACTTCCATATTCACAGTTGATCCTGGATTAGCTCTTTTGATTTCTATGCCATAGTCTGTGACATCCCCAAATTGTAATGCCCGTGTTTCTAGGCTAGGCATTAATATTGACATAATGGTCTAGGTTAACCTTTGTAACTCGTTTTGGAGAAATGAAAAGGAATTATGTGAATATTATGTGTTTTATGCTTAATTATTAGGGTTTAAATAATTAAGAATAAAAATGAGCGTCAAAAATTAAATTTTAGATAAAGCCGATATCTATTAAGAAACTTGTGGTGGGCGTGACAAGGATTACGGATATATAAAGAATGCCGAAATCCGAGTTATAACGAAGAAGTTATGACCTGTCGAAGTTTCGCAACAAACCGGCACGGTGCCGAATGTCGTAAAAAGTGAGTTTTTGATAAACTACTTTTTAGCCTTAGTAATCTAAACGAAACTTGTAGTGTTCGTTAAACCGAGAGTAGGTATAACAAGAACGCCCAAATCTGACTTCGTATGAGGAAGTTATGATTTTTCGAAGTTTCAGCTTAGCAGTAGACAGCTAAAAACTCGAATTTTAGATCGAGTGATTTTTAGCCGACACGACCTAAACGAGAATCGAAGGTCTCGTCATTAGTAGCACAACGGTAAAAAGTCTGATGAAAACGGACGTCGGATGAAGAAGTTATGAATTTTTAACGGATTTCCTGTCCCGGTCTGTTAAAAATAATAATATAAAAATTAAATTCAAAATTAGCCGACGAAGTCTAAACGGAAGTTGTAGAGCGTAATTTTACCTACGCGTGCATATAAAGAACGTCAAAAACGGAGTTCGTATGCGAAAGTTATGGATTTTAGAAGTTTTTGCACAAAAATCGAGAAAATCCGCATAGTCACGTTTTTGCCACGTCACCTTCGCTGAAAGAGTGCCACGTGTCCGAAATTGGTGAGTCATGCGAGCCACGTGTCGCCTTCCCTCGCATGAACAGTAGCCGTGTGTCGGATTCTGATTCGACCGAAGGGAGGCCCAATCCGAAGCTCGCAGCTGGTCCGAGCCTCGCACCGCCTTAGCCTCCGAACCTCGCAGATTGTAACACGTGTCTTTTCTTCGCTGCTTCGGATCCGAACCCTCGCCTGCGGACCCCACCTCCTTAGCCGACCTTCGGACCCGGACTTCGGTCCAATCAGGGACTGCCACCTGACCCTCGCATGCGCAGCCCACGTGACTACTCTTCGGATCTGCTGCCGCATGGACTCTTCTCATCCGTCCGATCAGCAGCTTCGGACCCTATAAATAGAAGGGTATGCGAACCCTCCCGGTTACTTTTGAGATTTTGCCATATTTAGCCCCTTTCTTCATATTTTCTTCATCTTAACATTCCCCGAAGCCCCGGTATCGATTATAACCCCCAGAATACGCCACGAAGTGCCCGTGAAGCCCGGAAAATTTATCTTTTCGGGTTCGAAGCCCGACCCTTCGCAGAGCCCGCTTTCTCAATAAAACTCCCGGTTTATTAGAAACGATCGTTTTAGGAAACAAATTGCTGCCCGATTTTCATTAAATCAGGTGAGTATGTAGTTGCTTTCACCTTACACATAGATATGAAGTATTTTACATAAAATACGTGCTGTGTGAATATTTATTGTTTGTTTATTTTAGTTGGATGTTGAAGGTGTGATTTATACATGTTTTTAAATAATTTAAATTGTATATGTATTTTTATCTACAAAAATGTTGGGTAAAACATTGGTAGATGAAATAATGGGTGTGTGATGATAGGTGAGTTGGATAAAGGAGATAATCAGTAATATTGATCATGAGCTGAGGGTGAGTGGTGAAATTTGAGAGAATCACTTACCCAAAATGTTGGCCCCCGTCATTCAGCAGAGTAGGGATGACAACCATGGACTATTCTAGATGGTCTGTGGAACACTAGCAGGCCCGCAACCTGTAGGTGTAATGAACTATATGTTCATTTGGAGTACTCTAAAAACCCATTGACATGTATGACAGGAGTGAATACTGTCAATAAGTAAGAGCTACGAATTTAGCCCCTGTTGTATAAACCCTGGTGATGGTGTGACCTTGTGCCTATTCCTTAGGATGAATCCTTAGGAAGGAGTGATAGTTGAATCTTAGGGTAAACCCTTAAGAAATTAATAATATAATGGGTTTGGGGTAATTTGGTTGATTGATTGATGTTTAAGTACAATAAATTTATTTATTGTGGGTTGAAAACCCTATATGCTCACCAGGCTTCCAAGCCTGGCCCACTCAGCTTTTTATGATTACAGGTAGTGGACCCCGAGCATAGTCGGATGATGATGATGAGTGATTTATGGATTATAGGCCAAAAGTTATAAATAACTGTTGTAAGGCTTATAATGTCTTATTTATGCTTTTGATCTGTATCGGAACATGACATCCCGAGGTTTTAATATAAAAGGAAATTATATATTTCTTAAAGAAAGGTTTTGATAAACATTATCATGTTTTATATTGGGGACCTATTCCGCAATATCTTTTGAAAAGATTTCTCTGATTTTATTTTAAAAAGCATAAATTAAATCGGTCTTTTCTGGCCGAGAAATTAGGGGATGTCACACTAATTCACGGTCAGAAAAGACCGGTTTAATTTATGCTTTTAAAATAATTGCAGAGTAATCCTTTGATTAAAAGAGTTGCGGAATTTGTTCCCAAAACGAAATATGATAAAATAAGATTTACCAAAGCATTTCTTAAAGAAATGTATTTTCATTATATAATAAAACTCGAGATGTCATGTTCCGATACAGACCAAAAGCATAAACGGCACATTATAAGCCTTACAACAGTTATATACACTACAGGCCTATAATCAAAATATCTTGATAAGTCGTCCAACTTATGCTCTCGCGTCACTACCTGTAATACAAAGAAAACTGAGTGGGTCAGGCTTGGGAGCCCGGTGAGCATATAGGGTTTTCAACCCACAATAAATAATTATATTAATTTCATCAACCAACAATAACCCAATTACCCATTCCCGTTATCCTCACTTTACGTCCCTAAAACAACTATCACAAGGGACCTACCCTAAGGATTTTCATCGGGGCGACAGCACATGCTTCGGGGTTTCCTCAGCAATTTATGTCAAATAAGGCAACCATGTGGGGGATGGAGTACATCAAATGAACACTCAAGTTCATTAACACCTACAGGTGGCGAGCCTGCCAGCGTTCCACTAGACTGTCTAGAAAAGTATGTGGCCGTCATCTAAACTCCGCTAGATGACTGAATCAGCAACAACATTGAGGCCTCTCATCATTTTATCACACGTCAACTATCTACCCATGTTTTACCCAACATTTTAGTAGATAAAAATATACTTATACATTCATATACAACTTAAAACCTGTATAAAATACTCACTCAATACTCACTTCAAATACACAGATAATATATATACACATAGCACGTATTCTATAAAAGATACTTCATACCTATGTGTTAGAAGAAAGGGATTATACACTATCTCAAAACGTATGCTTAATACATTCAAACAATACTTGTATTAAAATCGTGTTTATGAAAGAGACTATGCACTCACTTGATAAGACGATGCTCGGACAACACTACAGCTCTTAAAGTAATATTCTTCGATGAAACCGGGATGTTTTCTCCAAAAACCGGGCTTCTCGCGGGC